GCGGTGTCCGCCCATCTCCGTCCTTGCACTCGAAGTTCGCTCCTCTTTGGAGCAGCAGCCGGACTACGGTCTCGCGGCCGTTCATTGCAGCCCACGACAGCAGTGTCAGCCCATTTCTGTCCTTGGGCTCGAGGTCGGCTCCTCTATCGAGCAGCAGCCGGGCTACGATCTCGCGGTCGTTCATTGTAGCCCACCATGGCGATATCTGGCCATAAGGATTATTTACATCCGTTCCAAACCCATTTTGGTGGAGAGTTACTACTTTCTGCATCCTGAAGTACGCCGCGTGATTTTTCGTTGTTCTTCTCGGGAATCTCTCGGCTATAGCAATACCGTAGGTTTCCTTTAGCGGCTATCAAGGAGAGGATAGAGTTTAGAGGTAAGGACGAATCGAATGTTCGTGTTCGCTCTGGCGAAGGTACAGTCCTTGTCAGAATCTGATTGCGTCTCTTCATTCAAGATGGGATGCTCCAAGTTACGGGATTGCCGTCAAGCACCTCGGCTTATTCGAGAGGATCAAGGATCAAACGCGGTTAAAGAGATTTGTGCGGAGGATAACGCAGGCCTGAGGCAAGGATGGCTTTCAGTCTCAAGGATGGTTCAAAATTGCGGACGGGGCATTTTACCTTCGGGGGAACTAGGGCTTTCTCCTTGGTGGTGCAATACGATCGTAAGAAGACCTCCAGACCCAGAACGAACCAACATCTTCCCTCTGTGTTTTGCAGTTTTGTTGCGTTCCTCAGAGAGGAGGCGATGCAGCGGTCATATCTCAAAGCGGTTAGGCTGCCATTCGGGGTGCTCTCTGCAGATGTGAGGGTGAGCCTGTGCTATTTAGGAACCTACCTGGTCCTTCCCACCGCAAAACCCACCCACGCCTTTTGCTAACCCTTCCTTGTTTTCCTCCCTTGAAATCCGGTACTGGGCTTGTCCTGGAGAGTTGCTGGCCCACGAAACCTAAATCCTCGTGCCTAATGCGGGAACCCTTTCTACCCATACAGTAAAGCTCTGTGACCTCTGCCTGTGTTGTCGGCTTACGAATGACCAAATCGGGGATGTAATCAACCTAATGCGGTAAACTGCCTGATCCTCTTCTTTTCCTTTGCTGCACTGTATTTATTGATCGACTCATGGATACCCTATAGATCCAGTCTAAATTAGGTTTACCCGACGCGCCAAAATCGAGAACTTCGAAAAGGATACGCCGGGATAATGATGGTGACTCCAACCGGATTGTACTTGACAACCACTCCAACCAATCCTAGTTATTGGTGGGGTCACGAATTTATTTCCCAATCCAACGGGTCTTACTTAGTGCCGTAATAAATTAAAAACCCCCTCCCCCGAGTCTCTCTCCATATCGAGCTCCCCAAGTATCTGACGCCCTTGCTGCGCTCTCTGAACTAGGGGATATGCAGAGCTACGTGAATAGCTTGTGATTGGTTAATACTCTCCAAAAATTAGGACTGGTTCATGGCTGGGGGTTGACGAAAGTGATTGGACCAACTCTCTGAATATCTTGGCGGTCCTTGACAGACCTCCAGGGTACCCAACGTTGGAACATCATCACGAGCATCTGTGTAAAATCAACATGGGGAATAAACTATACCACGAGACTCGGCGAGTCAGCGAGATTAGTTCTATCTGCTGGTGCCATAAAGTTGGAGATATTGGACGTTGGATGCTATGTTGGAAGTCGAAGAGGGCAAATCCTCTACACAATGTCACAATCGGGGCGAGATTCGGCTCTGGGCACATATCGTTGCGTGTTCCTACCTCTACAGCCCCTCCCTCGCCCAGAACGTATATCACTTCTGCTTCGTAGGAGCCGTTGATTCCACTGGTCTCTCTTCCTTATTCTTCCGGAAGAAGGTATCACACCCCTGACACCTCCATTCGGGGACCCCAATTTGCACAGGTCTGACGGATAATCCTTTTGGTAGTTTTTGTCCGCAATTGCAACAGCGCTGGGCTTGTCGCACACGGTCTTGCTTCAACAAGCCTGGCCGCCACTTGTTCCATTTACTGTGATAGTGAAGACATGTTTGACAGACTGCCAGACACAGCTTTAGAGAAAAACGGGGAGGGTTTGGGCAGTCAAAAGCTTCATTGGCACATTTGTCATGCTTCTCTCTGCTTTGGACCTGCAGTTCGAGTACCTCGGTTGAAGGTAGAGACCCGTGGTTTCGATGGAATCTATGACAAGTCCAACAAACTCGATGCCCTTCTACCCGACGGGCATATCGCGGTAGCATCAGCGTCGTACAGATAGAGGGATTTCCACACTGAATCCGGGGTTTGGTCTGCTTTATAGGTTTGCCCTCCAGCAGGCGAACCCGGCCGCGTAGCTGGCCTCCACTTTTGCGCGCATGCGGTTGGCAGGCTCCACAGAGGAGATAAATACCCCTGATTGTCTCTATGAACTCCCACGACGTGCTCTCATTTTCGAGACAATAAGGGTTCTGGCAGGAGACATGCTCCCATTGTTGGTTGCGCCTCGAGGCCGAGAGGGAGGCCTTTCCTTCACGAGTGGCGCAGCCAGCACACCAGTACACCACTCCAGCACGCTCATCATACACCAGTGGTGCTTTGTAGATCCCGACTTCTACAAAGAGCCTCCTACAGTACAAATAATCTCGATGAAGTCGAAATGGAGCTGTTTCGTATAGAGGAGGAGAAGGATATTATTGCAAAATGCCTCCACATCTTGGCCGTCTCTACATATATCGAAGGAGTTCGCCTTCCGTTTCGCAATCACGTAACTGCATCTTCTGGGGCAAACCCAAGCAGTACAGATGGGCTAGGACGCCTTTCAGCCGAACAGTTTACAAGCAACATCCTTCAGCAATGCAGTGATGTAATCAGAACTCAAACTCCTCCGCTTGAGAGACATCTTAGTGACCTAGCAAGTCAGATGTCGGAAATGGCACCTCGAGATTGTATCGTGGGCAAACGGCTCTCTGTGAAATCCAGCATACAGGAGGAAATATTGAGCATGAAACAATGCTTGAAAATCTGCAACGATGCCAAGAGGCAAATGGCTCTTGACCGTGTAAACGTTTTCCAAGATTTTACCATGGCCGACAACAGTGATCAAATTATTGTGTCGACGTTGAGTGATCTGATGGTCGCCAAGCACGTCACACTAGGCGCTAGATCGAAACAATGGCTTCGGCAAATGAGCGATGCTTCCCTCCTGCAATTCTCAAAGAGTCTCGGCTGAGAGCTTCCCAAGAAGGGTGAACTGATCACAAATGAAACCATCGAGGCAAACGTACGTTGGAGCAGGGTCGATTAGGGACCGAAGCTGTAGCGCCCCGAGTTACCAAGGTATAACGTATTTCAAGAATGTTGACATTGTCTTGAAAGATTTCTCACTAAGGTAATGTCGGCGTATTTGCTTCTCAGGAACAAGCCAAGGACAGATGTTGTCAGAAATTTAATTCGTGGTAAAGTAGGGCCGCGTACAAAGTTGAACTGGCTCGCCATCGAGAGCAGTCCATTGCGTAAGCACGCAGGTTCAAGTTTGGAAGTGCTGTGGCATTCCCTGGCAGACCGCGCAGCAATTCCATTCAGATCGTTTGAATCAGTGGTGAAGAGCTTGCTGTAGAAAGCGCCCTACAGGGCCTCTTTTCAGCTCAACAATTTATACTCAATAGAGCTATGCGGAGTTCGAATCCCCTGAGCATACTGCGTTAGGCCAAGGCTAATCAAACCGTTCCCCAAAATTGTAATAGTGGCTGCATTACGTTCCGTGAATGTTGGGGATTGGCATAGCAGCACTACTCTAGGACTTCAGCATGGTCAGATATCGCTGAATATTGATCTCGGTGGACGCCCCCCTCCCAAACTTTCGCAATTGCGGGGACTTCGCCTCGCAAAATATCATAGACGTGATTGTTGATTTTGTGGATATCATCCTCTGGGAACTAGCTCCAGACGTAACGAGATTATTTCTTCGACCGCGATCATCAACAAAGGAATCTGTTATGAATTGTGCTGGTGCAGAAGTTGCTGTTGAGGAGGTTGGTACTTGAGCAGCAGCTTCACCGCTTGATGTTATCATTCGTGCTGCATTTTGCTCGGCTGTATGAGATTCAACCAGATGGATTTGGGGATCCTTTCTGGCATACAACCTGCGCAGCTGCCACAGCTGCTCGAGTTGATCTTCCGGGATTCCTTCTATGGTAGGGTCACTGATGACTTGGAAAGCACGTCTCAGCGCTGCCATGGGCGCACCACACCACGATCCTGGCTCTTTGAATGGACCCAGTCCTGGGATAAAGCTCTTGTCTGCATTTACGGGGAAAAAGTCCCTTAAGGTGTAACGCCAGTAACTTCCTCCTTTTGTCTCGGGCGACAGGATTTGCCGTCCTTGTAGATAATCAGCATACATCTGCGGCGTTGGGACGATTCGCGGAGGAACATGGCTCAGTCGTCTCGCGACATCAAGTCTGTTGTTGTAATCCTTAAGCTCGAAATCGATAAAATACTCTAGATGGGTAGGAATAAATATCAAGCCGGGATTATTGATATCGTCGAATGCTCGATGGCACGAAGGGCAGAGAGGAAGGCCATTTTGCTCGTCTCCCAGATGATCGAATGTCAGAAGGCCCCATGCTACATATTTGCTAAACTGTAAGTGATCAGTCATCTGGCCAACCGTCGATGGCACGATGGATCGCGTTGCGATCCTGACATAACGTACCGAGCCGTCTTTTTTACTTATAACGTGAGCAATGTCTGGCGCACCACCGCCACAATGCCAGCATCTCCCGCCATTATTGCGCTCAACAATTTTTTGTTTCGTCCTCCTCGAAAAGAGTGAAGTCGACGATGTGCTAGATTCATTCGCACTGTCGATATCACTTCGGTTGCGTTTGCGACTTGAGCTCGATGAGCTTGTTTCGTTCGAAGCTGGGACTGGTGGTGGCAACATTGCTGCCATAGGGGGAGGGAACACCGATGCAGGAGTTTCTTCAGGTTGATGCGACATCATTCTTTTTGCTGCTATTGTGATTTAGATGATAAGGATAGTGTCTCTCCTGCGCCACTTGACCCAGCGATGGCTGGTAAGGCAATGCTTGGCGCTGTCTCAACTTTTAGCGACGATTTAGACATTAGCACGTGATTGCTTCTTTTGGCATAGTTGCGCCTGCAGCCTGAAGCGGACGAAATATTCGCCCAGGAAATCATCAGTCCGTGTTTGTAGGAAACAACCTTTCAGCCTTATTCTCGGTGACACCGCCTGCTTCGATTCGCCGCAAGCATGACCGCAAGCAGCATGGGGCTCTTTTCAACCTAGTAGGGGCGTGCAACGAAAGGATCTGTCTCCCACTGACTCTGCTCCACTTGCCACAACGCTGTTGGTAAATGCTAGACCTTTAAGCATGGAATACGATATTTAATCGTGGAGGTGGAGCATCTCTCCGAATCCTAAACAGTGCGTGAAAAAGCTTTGAAAGAACGACAGCGTACAGCCCTGCTGAGGTGCTAATCTGCAATATGCGCCTTATTGATACTCGAACCAGGAATTTAAAGACTATTTCGCCTCAAAAACCCTCGATATGCCATTTTATCTCACAGATGGATGAAACATGAAGTGACTTTCGCCGACATCAAGAGCAGGAACTTCCGGGCTGCGTCAGGCCAGAACCACAAACTCTGGGGAAGCATTCGTCGGGCTCGGGCTGATCACTTCAAGTTCTTATGGGTTGACACCTGTTGTATCGACAAGAGTGACAGCGTGGAACTAAGCCAGGCGATCAACTCTATGTATTGATGGTATCGAGACGCACAGTGTTGTTACGTTTATCTCCCCGACGTCGATCAAGACGACTTGGAGAACTCCTTTCTAAACAGCGAGTGGTTCAAGCGAGGTTGGACATTGCAGGAATTACTTGCTCCACAGAAAGTGCTTTTCTTTGATCGGCAATGGCAGCTGTTAGGCGACAAAATAAGTTTGGCACACACCATCTCCTCTGTTACTGGAATTGATGCAGCCAACGCGAGTATGTACTCGTACCGTCCACTACAACCCCGCGTCGTCGTCTATGTTTCACCTATCTGAGCTCCCTCCGCGCTTGTCGCCTCGTCCAGAAACTCAAGGGGACTCCTTCCAGTCAACATCTTGCCGGACGATCTCGAACAGAGGATCCTGAGACACCTAGACCAACATGACCTTGGAAAAAGCACTCACAAGAGTTTCGAAAGCCGACGTTCATTTCATAGATCCGGTGCGCGCCGATTACACCGGCTGGAGGGTTCCTGCATATTGAAAGGCCACAGCGCCCATTCGGGGATCGACGCGGTGATGCGATCCCAAGAACGCATATCCCTCACCCTTCCAGCCCGAGGAGGACAGATACCAGGGGATGGCTAGGTGTGGACTTAGCCACCTAGAGAGGGTCGCATGACTTTTAATCGATCGGCCAGCCTCTTCCGAAACCCTTACGCGTATCAACGACATGATGATCGCCTCCGTGCCGCCACCGGGCCGTCCTGCACGTGGATTGGTAGGGAACAAGGTCTCGGCCCCCGGGGCAACCATCTGTCCTCTCGATCTGCTTCCAATCGAGAATCATCCCACATGAACAGAATGGTCGATCTTGGTCCGACAGGTGGGTCGGGCAACAGGGTGGTCGCACGGCTTTCTGCAGATCTCCATGCGCTTTCAAAGGATACTTCTATTTATGGCTCCCAGTACATTTACGGCCGGTGACACCAGATAACTTACACCTTAATTTTAAGGAACTTTAGGTAAATCAGGGCTAAGACAAGGGTGGTAGGGGCGACGAGTAAGGATCATCGCTAATGCTTAACTAACCACGCGTAATTTTTCCGGCGGAAGTCCGTTCTAGCCCGGGACAAATTGTATATAGAAATTTAAGGTGCCTCATGTGTTTTTCGCTCACTCCCTCGTTGCGTTACAGTACTGTACGGGGGAACTCGCGTTTTCTGAAAAAACGATAAAGGACGGATCACATGCTGTGACGAATGATACAGTAAGAAGCCGATTCGACTGCTCTTGTTGCGCGATTTCGAGATCGACGAGACATTTTTTCTCCCCCTCTGCGACGGGCTTGGCACCGATTCTTCCTCGGCCCTCCTCTCTTGGGGCCAACCATGCACTCTTCTCCGTGTCTCTTTCCTCTCTAGCGCCACCGGTTCCTCAAATTCTGTACTTACACGCAATTTGGTTTCGACTCCAATTTGGTTGCCGGTCTTGATATTTCGGATCGAGGGCACCGAAAATGGACCGCCATCATACGACGCGGGCGTATAAAGGGGGAGGAAACTCGGGAACTTGGTCGGGCGGTGCCCTCGAATCTCTGCATGACACCAGCACGGCGACGATAGCAGCTTTTCTGCAGCCATAATGAATTTGATCCCGCGTCGTCGTACCGATGGCAGACCCTGGACGGTGTGGTTCGTCATCTGGGTCGCTCTTCTCCTCCACACCGTCCACTCTCGCCAGGTTCGTGGTGGCCCCGGCGGGGCACCCGCGATCTGGAAACGCGCCGACAACGTGAGCTCAGTGCCGGTCCCACTGTACGACTCCGGCGGGAAACCACAACTAGCGGACATCACTAACTTCACCCGGGAGGGCTGGGTGGAAGCCACCGTCGCGGCCGTGTTATGTGTCGATCCATCCATCATCACCGCAGCCCAGTACCAGGCCGAGGACGGGACGATTTACACCACGTTCACAAGGGCCGACGGGGGTAAATACACGTCTCCCTTCGGCCCGATCTATGGTGGCTCGACGTCGGCGTGGTGGCCGGCGATCGCCCAGGGAGCCATCAACCTGATCGCCGAGGAATGGGCCAGCCTAGGGAGCGGCCCACCCCAAGCTCAACGGTCCGCGCGACTCCTGAACGCCATCGTGGGGAAGGCAGGCTTCGCCTCCACCGCGCCCTGCCCTCTGTCCCGGAAGAGTGACAACATATATTCCTACGCGAAGACGAGTCCGGTCCTGGCCTGGTCCGAATCCACCGGAAAGGTGGCGGCCGTCCTCCCCGGGGGCGACGCCGATTCTATCCCCTTGCGGTTGATCGACACGACTGTCGATGTCGACATCTTCTTCCCCACGAACATGCTGTTTTCGGTCACGGCGTTCTGTCCGACCAACGGCCCTCCCGTCCAGATCCTCCTGGATACGTGGATGGAACAATGCTCACAACTGATGTACCTGGCCCGGTAAAAGCTGGGATGTGGAAGGTTTCACCGGGCGTGACGGGGTCGCGGGCAGGGTTGGCATATTTGTTGATCGAGGCAAAAACACGGAATTTCCCGCGTAAGTACAGCGCAGAGAGTCACGAGCGGCGGGGTTGGTGAAAGAATCTTCGCCGGGCAGTTAGACTTGTACTGTAACGTCCACTGACCCGCACAGAAAACTTAGGGAGCGAAAAAGAAAAGAACCAAGTACAATGATTTCTACACCAATATTCAAATGTTATCAACTGCCACAGCGAGAAAAATGGCGCTATGGTATGGCTAGTTTCCAAGCGGGATACGGGATAATCTTTGCTTCCAACCTTAAATCCCCCACCTTCAGGCTCAGCTTGTTCGGAACCTCTGCGCATCCAATGGCCTCACCGAACACTTCTCTTTGCACACCTAGCTTTCCTGCCCTGCGTCACAATATTTGTCTAATCTAAATTAGATAGTACAGTATCACTCACAGCATTGTGGCCTCCAACGAGACGAACCATGATGAACAGCTCAAAACCTTATCCTCATGGGAAGTATCGCTAGCGTTGACGTTGTAGCATCGCCTCAGCCATCTTTACCTCGGTCCCAATCCTTCGTCGCCACAGCCATGTTGGGATATTGACATGTACTGTAAGCCACTCATCATCTTATTTCCACTTCATCACCATTATCCCGCCGACATCCAGCTCCAGACGAGAGTCCCATCGAAGCTGTGGGTGGCTGAGAGCCCAGCTCAAGTACGAGTAGGCCCACCATCCTTCCTCTACCTCGCCAGGTCGGCCTTGGCCGATACCGAAACTATTGCCGCTCCTCTTCCCACACGAGTCACCTTCGCTGAATTCGCACGAGACCAGCAGTGGTCCAGCGCGTTTGCAGGCATGTCGGAGTCTATAAATGCTCCCTGGGGAGGATTACAGACAAGCAGGGTACATATACATACCCAGAAGGGAACACCGTGTGGCACTTACAGCTCCGCATCGAGTTTCGAGGAGGCGTTGCGCATGCTCCAGAAGACAGTGACGGAGAAGTCTCACGGCGCTCTGTCTCGCCTACCGGGTCGGTTGCATTTGAATTTCGAGAACATCTCATACGGTACAGCTTCGAGAAAGCAGCTGAACGACAAGGGTGGGGACTGGGCGATGATTGGAGTCTACATTTCAGCTAACCATTGGTGGTCTCGGGCAATGATGATTCGTCTAAGAATGTCCCAAGGTGTGTTTCGCGAACGACTGAACTGCCAATAACTTACTGTATCTCCAATCAACTCGTCAGCCCAAGTCAATTAGTATTACTGTCTACAAATGTCTTTCTTGCCCAGGGGCCACTAGAACACTCCGCAGAACTACAAAACATTCCGGAATTTACTGCAACATAGCGCTCGTGCAGCACATCTGCGAGCTAAGCGGACAGCCTTGGGTTGCTGGCTATGACGAATGTGTATTCACTCGGCCAATCATATTGCGCGGAGCTCGAGGTCGGCGTTTCGCAGCCCCGACGTGGCGAAGAATGGGGAACTTTTGCTAAACGGCCTAGTCTGCTTTAATACTTTGTACTGTAACTATCACTGAAATCCCCTTAGAAACGCCGAGTGTACGAGTAATTACGCGACCCACCGGCGGGCGTCATGGTCCAAGGGCCTTCAGCTTACGAGGATAATTCAAAGCGTGTAAGACTCCGTCGATCTCCCAACGGGGCTGATTGTCCGAGCCCTCCGCTTGAATAACACCACTGCCACCAAAGGAGAGTTCGTGATTGGGATCACCCCGGAATCCGTGACCGCGAAGGTATAGGATGCCTTCATCTCGGCTTCGAATGCTTTTCGGAACCGACCCATACTATATCTGCTCCACCTTCTGCCGCAAACTCCTGCAACCCATTGATTTCTGGTTCAATCGCATCCCCTCTCAGCCATTTACGAAAGGAAAAACTTCATCGTCTCTGTATCGTCTTGTCCTGGACACGCCCAATGAGGACCGGCCCCTGTCGTTCGGTCTCTCGACAAATACCAACTCACCTTTCCTTTTCCCCCGCGCGATGGTCGCCTGCTTAGGCATTCCTATAAATTCTCGAAACGTCATAGGAACATGTTGCTTCTTGGGCTCCTGACCTGGATATTCATCCGGGGTATTCAAGATGTCGTCCTTTTCAATGATCGCAACGACCGGGACTTCGCCACCCTTCCGCATGACATTGTAGTGCGGGTTCCCGAACTTGAGCTTGTTGTCCCGACATTGATACAGAAGGAGATTGTTCACCAATTGTTTCTTTGTCGGGCGGTTTCGTTTCCAGGGTGCAATCTTACCGATGGCCTGGTATCGGTTCTCTGGATTGCGTAAATCTAAAGACGGATCCACATCAAACGGATGTCGTGACTCGAGAACGCGATGCAGCCGATCCGTGACGAGTGGTGGTGCTTGACGAGGAGCATCGTCATCGCCGAACGACTCGTCTGACTCCGAGTCGGTTTCGATCTTCACGCCCCGTTCTCGGAGCTTTTCAAGAGCTCGCTCTTCGTCGTCATCTGTCCAACCAGATTGTGCCTTGCCATGGTGAGGCCGCAGGTGTCGAGTGCCGTTAACCCTCTTAGGAAGGGGATGCGGGCGGTCGCTTTGCTCGTTTGAAGCTCCCAGATTATGGATTACCGGCATGGCGACGTGTTCTAGAGAGCCTAGGTGTTCTTTCGGCTGATTTCGTCGTCTTGTAATAGCGAGGGGCAAGCCATCATTAGGATCTTCCCCGGAGAGTCTCCGAGACTTTTCCATCGCTGCCGCTCGAGTCTGAGAGCGAAGACTTCGACGTTCGGAAGGCAGTGGTGGCGTCCATCCCACTGTGGAAGGCTCTTGGCCTATCGGGTCTGTTTTGGCGGACATAGACGCAATGCCATCCACCATCAGGGGCGCACCCAAGTTATTAGTCTTCACGTCCGGATGAAAGTGTTTGCGTCGTTTGCGTGAAACGCCGAGGTCATCACTTCGCGCGGTGCGTTTGAGAACATGAGCAGCGGGGTGGTGAGAGCGTTCATCAGACCCAGTCTCTTTCTCCGACGCAGATACAGTTCCCGGAATCGCCGATCCAGTCAGACCAACGACCGCGCCATTGGTTGGAAATTCAGGTACTCGCGAGTCATCCCCGTGCTGGTTATCAGTAGTTGCCCCCCATGCAACACGCTGGGTCGTCGGCTCGAGAATCCTCCTCTCACCCGTCTCGCATGCTTTCACCCCTCTCTCAACTAGGACTTTCGAACGACTGTCACCCCCGAGTCCAGGGGGGCCAGTGACCCCCTCTAGCTCCGTGTCGGTGGGTATCTGCGTGCCGGTCATAACAGATCTACCTACAAAGAGCCCAGCAGTTGTGTATGCATCGGCACCACCGGGTAGGGGAACTGAATCCGTGCGAGATGGGGTCTGGCTGTGACAGCACGAGTCTCCGGGAGCTTGTCCACTACAACAGCCTGACGCCGCGGCTGATTGGGCGTGAGACGCGGCGGGGGAATTGCAGGAAAGGGCGCTATTCGGATCGGCACGACATGGAGAATATGTGCCCGGGCCTGATGCACACCTCCATGGCGGGATTGTAGGAGGAATCGAAATTGATAGATCGTCTTCCGATGGTGGAGGAGTGATTTGATCAAGCTGCTTGGGAGGATCAATGATTGGTACGGGTGGTTGAAGGCTCGGCGACGCGGACTCGGCTTGTTCCTGTTCAACGGCGATCTCTGCATAGATATACGGGGGCCCGCCAGAACAGAAACCATGAGAATCAGTAACTGCAGATGTTGGCAATCTTCTATCCTGTCTGGTGAGGCTCGGGAAGCTTTTAGATATGTCCACCTCGGTGGAATCAACCTCAATGTTTTCTTTTGGCTGGGGTTTAATCTTCTTCTCGCCGTAGATGTGAACTGGCGAGTGGGTTCGTTTCTCGTGCCAATGTGACGTCATAGCAGCTTCCCCCCCCCCAGCGGTAAAAGCATCGTCAATACATTGGCATCTGGCTTCCAAGGTGCAGTTTCCACATCCCACAGTCCGGTCGTTCAGGGCCGTGTCGTGTACTTTATCGGGTGAGTTGAAGTTAGAAATGGGTTTCCGTTTTGGGCCGGCCTTAATTGCGCTCAATTCGCTTTCCAGCCTTCCACGTCGATCAGCGCAAGTGACCGCGTCAGCACGATACTGCTCAACTTCCTTCTCAAGATTGGCAACAGTTTTTCTCAACATCCCATTTTCCCATTTATGCTTCTCCTCCAGCTGCTCTATCCGGGTCTCGAGGTCTCCGACTCGAGCTGCTCGCCTTTCCCCGAAGGCTCGTTGGGAGGCTCGGATCTGATCTCTGCGCTTGGTTGGTGGAGTATCGGTGGCAGGCTTGCGACCGGGTTTTGGGCGGGTAGGAATAACCCATTCTCTGCTCGTCAATGACAGAGAGGGCTGGGGAGCCGAGGGAGGCGATGCACCTGACGGAGATTGAGCTGGCTTCATACAGAGTGAAGGCTGCCGTGGAGCTATGGGCTTCACAGCAGAGGCTGTGGGAGTGGTGACTGGTGGTGGGTCGGCCATGGTCGGTGAAAGACGAAGAGACTGCGACAGGTCGAGATGAGAGTTACTCTGGAGGCCCCTAGCGTCCAGCCGCCACCAAAAGCCCTGACATGACTACTCTGCCCCCTAATGGCATGCAGTGACCTACCCCTTCCGTGTGACCTTTTTTCTTGGCATTCAAGGGCCTCTCAAAAATATAACTTGCATACGATTCAAGTAATTTAGACGCTGGTGCTTCCAAACTCGGTCTACGAGTATTCCGTAGAGAGATAGTCAAAAGGCATAGCTTCTTAGTTTCTACTTGGCTGATTTAGTAGGTTAGTGAGATATTGCGAGATAAGTTAAGGGCTGAAAAACGCCCAGAGAAAAAAAAGTCACATGTTGGTCACGGAAGAGATAGATTAGTCGGAAGCCACAAAGCTTGGCCACGTTAGGATCTCTGTCGCACGAAGGGTCATGTAATTTCTTTTTTATAAGAAGCTGGAATGTGTTACAGTAATTTCTTTGATTGATCATTGTCTCAGAGGCGGGTACTCCATCCCGCAGAGTACGTTTGAAGCACAAACAGCTGGACTACTTATATAGTGGATTCCCAAGGCTTGCCGGGGTGAAATTAAACTTTTTCTGTATTCGGCACCGTCCCGGGGCTAGTGCGTTTTGAAAGTCCACACACTCCTATTTCAACGCGCCGATCGCCCACAGACGTCGCTCACCTACTGTAAACGATTAGTGATCCCTCCACCTTCTTATTTTGAGCATTTTTGGCGTTCGCCGCCCCTGGAGAGATCTCATCCATAGTATTCCCATATTCCCGCCGAGGATTGAATTGGGATGTGAAGACGAGGGGCAGATCCGCGTGGACGCCGAAGCTCACGCTCAGAAGGCTAACGCGGCGAAATGCACCCTCCACCGTGGTGGATTAGAACAATCTGGACTCTCGGAGATCATCTGTGTCAAAGCAGGTGAACTGACATCTGGCTCGCTGGCAGGGGAGTTCACTCTGTCGCATGATACATCACACTTTTTTTGTCTCGTGGCTCGATATGGCCGAACACCAGTCATTGGATGATCCAGAGAGACAAGAGGTGTGGGAGCTCAGGATGAGGCTCCACGGTAAGGTCACAAGAGTAGAATGTTTGGTATTTCTTTAAGCATGCTTCTCAGGAGCACAAAGTCAGCTTTGATACATAACTGTAGTACGTAAGGAAGGCGCCAAAAGAAAAGGATAAGCTTCATCAAGGACGCAGTCCTGTCTGCCGGAACGGAAGGAAATCACATGCGCTAAATTCCAGTCGCCGATGGCCACCCGCCACCGGCAATTTTCATTTTGTTGGAGGAGGAAGGTTCCTCACATTCCCACCTCCGGCAGTGACGGCTTCCTCTTTCAGCAAAGAGACAAGGTACGATTGGTGGCTTCCGCCACCGCTCTCTCTAGACGGAATGGTCTTGACGCAGCAGCGTTACTCGTTCACCCGCTAAAGAAGCGAACCGACATGTCCCTGGTAGGATGTTTTCTGGTAGTCAACACACGGCTGATCAGGGTTTTCCTATTGGGCTGGAGAGGAGACGGTGGTTCATGAAGTGTCGCGGATGTTCGGTGCGAAGCTTGCCTTACCGTGCTCGTTCCGAGGCCGCCCTCCGAGCATGATTGCGATGCTCTTAAATGCATCACCTACCTTGTTCCTTAGTTGCTGTCTTGCTTCACGAAGTTTTGGGCAGTCCACCACGTGTACTATCGTCTCGATTGCTCCGCACACACATCGATCACTGTCTGCGTATTTCAATTTCAGGCGGTGTGGCCCCAGCCAGGAGTGGCCCGTCCGCAGTTGGGCTAGGAGATAGGTTTTGGTGTCTCGTCAAGATGCCATATACACGCAGACTTCGCTTGGTTGGGGGTCCGCTGTCGATTCGTTTCAAGTGTTTGCCCTTCGTTGAGGAAACCCATTCCTGTTGCCACTCCTCTTGGATCTTCTTGTGACCGGCCCTTATATGGGATGATACAAGGTGAAGGAAGCCATGCTGTGCTTCCGCAGTGACCGCCTGCTTGGCGAGGTGGTCGGCCATTTCGTTTCCCTGCGTTTCCACTGTGGCCGGGAACCCAGCGTAGTTTCACGTTGATTTGTCGTTCTCGCAAAGATCGCACCCGGTGTAGGATGCGGCGTACAATCCCTTGACCAGATTTGTTGCGAGGATTCGCGATTGCCTGTATTTGCTGACTGACTGTCACTAGTAATGGTGACCCACTGCTCTTCATCACTCCCGCTACTTTGACCTCTTTGGTAGTTTCCGTTTGGCGTAAGGCATTTTGGATGTGGTCTTTCGCTCTTGGCGGGGCGAGATATCTCGCAAATGAGTTATCGTCCACCTCTGTGCTTTGTTGGCTCGCCTGAGTGCTAATCCGAAGGCAGTTCACTTCTTTCCTGGTCCGCTCGCTGCCTCCAGAGGAGATAAGGCTCGTGGTCGACTGGGTTACCGGTGTGCTGGCTGCCACTGACGCGGAGGAGCGTGCGGAGGGGGTTGACGCGGAGTATGACTGAAGTTGTGCTCGTAGGGAGCGAAGCTCTTCTTGTAGTTCGGCATTCTGAGTTTTGAGGGCTCTTTGTTTCTCTTTGATTTCAATCAGCTCGTTTCGGATGATCTCGATGCCCTGGGCTTTGCCGCGTGATGAGCAGAATTAAGGCTTGAACGTTCGTGGGGGTAATATCGTGTCCATGGTGTTCAGCGGAAGTCGATTCCACCGTTATCGTCTCATCTTCCAGGAGCTGCTGTGCCTCCTGCGCTGCGACCGCCTTTGCGCTGGGTTTCCGGGTTCTCTTTGTGGTCGACATTGACGTCGGGGCGTGCCGGCGCTAACGCGCGTGTCCCGCTTCGGGATCTGCCGGGTCGCTTGACGCGTCGCGTGTCACTCTTTTCGCAAATTCTTCGTCTCTTTTCCTAAATTTTGGTTATGTACAGGCGTTTTCAATTCGCTCCAATGCTCCGTAAGATACTGTAGCACAGCAGTGCTGTCCTCCAGAACTTGAGAAATGTTACAGTAAGTACCTATAGGTTATAATTCGACATTACTTGTCAGTTTCCTATGCTGTGGCATTTATAGCGACTAGC